AAGATATTCAAGACATGTTACAGACTGCAGGAGAGGAGCAAGTCAAGAGCAAAGAGGTCGAAGAGAAAGGGAATACTTCATAGAGAAGATGGTGGGGGGGGAGGTTAGAGATGGAAGATACTGACTTTGATCAAGACCCTTTGTTTTTGAGACTGGGACAAAGTAATTAGAATGGCTAGAGATGTATTTTGTAGATGAAGGAAGAGGGAAGAGACTGGACTTTACAACCTTTTTTTCACACCATGGCATTCAAAGAAAATGGTCACATTTGGGTTAAATGGATGAGGCTGTGGGTGCTGGAAGTGATGAGGTGGAAGGTGTCTGGCTCTGAGTTTGGACACACTCAGGTGCAAGTAACAAAAGATGCCTTTTGAAAGTACCTTGTACAATAAATTAACTTGCCTCTGAAAGTACCTTGTACAATAAAGACATTTTAATGCATTAATTAGAAGTTGGGAATTAGGCAGTTCCCAGTTACATACGGTACACCCACAATGCCATGAAAAACCTGGGTGGTATGGTCTGAATGTGTTTCCCCTAAGCTCATATGCTTAAATCTAACCCAGGCTGGTGGTATTAGCAGCTCGTTCCTCTGGGAGGTGATTAGGAAATGACAGTGAGCCTTCATGGGTGGGATTAGTGCCCTTATGAAAGAGTCACCTTGTCCCTTCTATCACGTGAAAACACTGCTGGAAGGTGTCATCTAGGAAACAGAAAATCAGCCATCACCATGCACTGAACCTGCTGGGACCTTGACCTTAGACTTCCATAAGTGTCCATAAATGTGGGAAATAAATTTCTGTTGTTTAGCAGCTGCTATTTAGTAACCCCAACAGCGTAAGATACCAGGGTCTTTCCATCTTTTTCTTCTAAAAACTTGGTTTTAGTCATTACATTTATTGCTTCATGCATCCTGTCAATGTCCAAAGGAGGAAGAGGAAGACAGGTGGAGGCAGAAGGCAGCCTTTCTTTCTCTTTATATAGGACGAAAAACTTCCAAAAACACTTCCCAACCTCCTTCTCAGCAGACATATTTTATTTCATTGGCTACAGGGTCCCATGGCCACACACTAACTTCAGGGACAGCATCTGCGTCCCCCCCTTCTGCGGTGAGAGGTGGGCAGAGCAGGAGGAGATAGGAGGCCAAGAGGCTGAGGCTGCCCAAGCCGGAGGCCCTCAAGCTTCCTCCTGTTACCTCTTTAGGAAAACTTTCTCAGCATTCAGAGTTCATTACCTGACCCTGAGGCATATCTTTTGTGAAATAAACAAGTTTGTTTTCTCATAGTTGATGAATTTTCTATTCTCATTGCTTGCCTTACTTGGCATAATCATTACTAAATATAAAGTAAGTTTAATTAATACAGTTCTTAGAGACTTTGAATTATTGAAGTTATTGTTCTCTTTTATTTTAATACTTTTCCTTAAAGTACTGAATGGCACTTTTTGAGGGGGTGGGGTGAGTATCATAAATTTGCTTAGTGATTATTTACTAACTTCTGAGATCCTTATCAAAAGGATCCTTCCCAAAGTCTCAGAGGAATAAAATTAAAACAAAAAACTACTTTGAAATATTAACATGTTTAAAGATAAATTCTCTCAGAAAATGTTTTATTTAATTAAATCAGAATAATAAAGATGTAAAATATCTAATGAATTGGGAAAAAATATGTAAAATCCCATCTTTATTGAAGCATAGGAGGCTCTGAATTGTTCTCTAAAGGGAACACTCATGTGATCTTGGCAGGAATACAAACTAGTAAAGCCTTTACGGAAAGAAGTATGGAGAGTCCTCAAAGAACTAAAGTACACCTCCCATTTGATCTGGCAATCCTATTACTAGGCATCTACCCAAATGAAAAAAGAAGTTATTTTACCATAAAGATGGACTTATGCACCCACATGTTTATTGCAGCCTGACATGGAAACAACCCAAGTGCCCTTCAACCCCTGGACTAACAATCTGGGGGACAGGTGTACCATGGAGCACTACTCAGCTGTAAAAAGATGGAGATTTTGTATCTTTTAAAACAACCTGGAAGGACTTACAATCTCCTAAGTAAAGGATCACCAGAATGGAAAAGCAAGCATCCCATGTACTGAATATTGAGTTGAAACAAGCAGATTAACAACCTTAGGCCCACATGAGAGAAAAACTCAGTTAAATTCAAGAAGTGGAGAGGCAGGAGAGGGTTGGGCGAGTCCCCACCCAATGGGGACAATGCGTGGGGATAAGGCACACTTCCCCGGAAAGGAGATGGGGACATCTCGGGCTTTGCCTTACCAACATAAGCAATGTAACCTAACCGTATATACCCTCATGTTAATCTGAAATTTAAAAAACATGTATTTGGAAAGAACAAAATTCTCCTAGATTGTGGTATAATATATTTAGAAAAGGTAATGGAGCTGCTGACACTTCCCAGGTGCTGGGGGTCCTGAAAGGAAGTGCTTTTCTCCTAGAGTGTACAGATTAATGATCTCTGTGAAGCATTTTATTGTCCTTTTTATGTTGGTAGCTTAAAAAGAAACTTGACTTTTCAAAAACTTTTTTATTACATAGGCAGTCTGTGTTAATGCTGTGCTGGAGAAAATAAAAAACATTTTCAAAGAAGAAGAATCCATACGACAAAACAGAGAGGAGAGTGAGCATTTCAGGAAAGCCTTCTCCGAGCCTGTGCTTTCAGAGCCCGGCTTTCCCGAGGGTGAGATCAAAGCCAAGCCTTACAGGTCCCTGCTGGAGAAGCCCAACAGCACTTCCGATCGCCCCAAGCTGCCTGCTAATAAGCAGAGTAATAAGATCCAGGTTTTACATTCTGTGTTCGACCAGTCAGCGGAAACAAATGAATGAGCCAGTCTGAACACCAACCAGTCCCAGCGAGCAGAGCTGATGGAGGAGCCAGCTAGTGGGACGCTGCATCTGACGGAAGTCGGAGCCGAGTTTACCCGAATGGAACTGCTCTGCTTTAAAAACAAGGGTGGGACTACTACTAAAATGCCATTCTCTAATATTTATATGGTGGAAAAAATAAAATGAGTCTTGACGTATAATATATGTATTGACTGTACATTTTTAATGAAGAAGAAAATTTGTCCTTTGGTGGGTTAGATTTTACACTGTGGTTTATAATATGGGAATATTTATAATACTTTTATGTTTTTATCAAAGGCTTGTTTTTCACATTTAACTCTTTATCTTGGAAGAAACAACTATCAGAATGCTACATCTATTTTTCACAGCTAATATAAGAACAGATTTATTTGCAGACAGCAGAGTTTGAGCTGCCTATTATTACTTCTCTCACAACTCACTTGGAAAGTTATGAAGTACTTGCACTTCATAGATGCCATCCATTTATAAAGCAAAATATTACTTACAAATGTGTCAAGATTTCTGTATATGAACAGGACATGCTGTGACATAAGAGATCAAGTCCACACCACTCATTGTTGCCACTGGCTCCTGAGAGAAAAGACTTCTGCAATCGGCCCCACAAACCAAGGCCACGGTTTTTGCCCAGAGGAGCTACTTTGATTTCTTCCATATGCTTTAAGTTCTGGACATGTATTCAGACCTGACAGGTCACTGAAGGAGCAGCACCTGACGTAACAGGTGGGGCTGTGCCTACCCCAGACCTGGGCCATCCCCTGCAGCTGTGAGCAGCCGCTGCCATAAACAGCATTTATAAAAAGCCCCAATCTGGCTCATTAGTAGTCTGAGGAATGAGTAGCAAGTGGCGCTCATGCTGTCCACGTTTCCACAGAAAAGGAAATGTAATAATATACAGCAAAGGCTTCTGTGCGCAAAGCCTTTTCCACACATACCTTATTCATTTACTATTTTTACAATAACCAGGGGAAAGAGTCTGAGTGGGCCCCTTAGAATGTTAAGCATTAGGTTGGACTCTTATGGCACAAACATCACTGTCCTTGAGACTAGGTTCCAGTCTTAACAACAGCTGTTCTCATTCTGAATTCTACTAGTCCTGGTTCTTTCTGGTCTCACTTACTCTCATATTGTTTTGTGTGCTACAGAGTTTTATGTGTCAGTACCTAGGGTGTTACCTGAAGTACTTAACATTTAGTAGGGTGTGGGCACCAGGCAACCAGGACACTGCTGGCCATAAATAACTGGCATGGTAAAACCAGGGCAAAACAACTAAATGTCAACCTTGATTGTGACCTTTGAAGAACAAAATCCTGGACCTCCTCTCTCTGTAACATTTACAGGAAACACTTGGACATACATGGACAAAGTTCTCTAAAAAAAAAAAAAAAAATTGTTTATTTGCATTCAAAGCACACTGGCTCACTAAATAGGAGACTTTACAGCTCCTAAGGTGGGCAGTGTATCTTTCTTACTTCAAGAAATTATAACGAGATTCCTTCAGTTTTCATGTCTAGCACAATGGTAAGTTTCTTATTTTTAAGTTTAGCAAGTAAATTGATCTCAGTTTTCAAGGCATTTTTTAAAGACAAAAAGTATGCTATATATTTGGAAAAATTGTACAGTTAAGATTTGAGCATTTTAGTGTATTTAAATTTTACCTAAAAATACACAAATAATAACAATCAAACAAGAGATTTAGTAAATCCACAGAAGCATAAATAAAACAAGAGCAAGAGAATGCTGGTAGCTAAATGGTGGTTGGTTGACTTTACATACTATTAAAACTTTTCTAGAATAAAATATGGTATATCAAATAGGGACTTTTGTCTATAAAGAGGTTTCCTACTAAATCCTACTTTTTACTTACTATTCATTTTGTTTACTCCAGATTATTTTCATCCTTAAATTGAATATCTCAAATCTATAAACTTAAGATTCCAGTCAATCCAGAGGACTGAACAAAACGCATTCTACTGATCGTGATGACAATCCTCACATATATCCCACTGAGTATGTGTGCTCCTAAACCTGTCAGATTTATATGATTTTGAAAGTAACAGTTGTGTCTATGTTGGCCAAAATTCATCTTTGGTATTGAAGCAAAGTTATTCTAAAAATATTTCCAAACATGCACAATATTTTTTCATTGCTATATATTTTTTATCAAGAAGAACTCTTAATTACTTTGAAATCTCCAGTAGCATAAAAGTCAGAGTCACACTTAAAAGGTTCAGTAGAAAGAGTCACATAAATATTGCCGTTGTCCACTGCCACTACATGAGTCCTCTGCTTTATTCCTTTGGAGCACCATTTGGGTTTTGCTGATGGATCTTTAGGATTTATAGACTGATACAGTCCTTCTCCTGTTGCCAAAGTAATTTTATATTTATGCCAAGGGCAAACTATACATGTTCGTCCATCAAAATCCTGCAAAAGAAAATAACTCACTTAATATTCTGACATTTCAAATGTTCATGATAAAACACAGATGCAGGATAGACAGGCAAAAGAACCAAGCTAACATATAGGCCAGCCTCTTTTTTTTATTTAATTTTTTACCTCCCATTTACAAAATATTCAGCATAAAGCAGAACCTAATCTGAGAACAGTCACCATGTCCTTTTGAAGTTGATCAGAAACCCAGTTAGAGCTCTCTCAGAAGCCAGACTTGCTCAGCAACTGCACCATGTAACTGATCTGTGCTGTGATCTGTCAGATGTCAACGTCACTTCCGTGACAGAAATGGGGCAAGGCCTTCAAGAGCTTCTATGGGAATTTTCACTAGCTACTAGAAGAACTATAAGCTCTACATATAAAGTAAATAGTGGTTACTAAACGTATGAGAGCATAATGTTAACAGAAAAGCAATTTGTGACCCAAAGTAGTTAACTGTCAACTTTTTAAATGTCTTAATGAAGTGCTTCACAAAATTAAAGAGGATGGGAATCACCTGGATCTTGATAAAATGCAGCTCTGTTTAACCTCACCAGGTCTGAGGGCAGAGGTGGACAAGACTCTGCACATCCCAGGCGACACCGTGGTTGCTCATCTAGGAGCACCACTCTGAGCAGCAAGGCCTTAAAGTGCTCATTACGGACTAAAAATGAAGGAGATTCTGTGAAAATAACATCAGTAGGTGCTTAAATTTTCCCTCTCTACCAAAAGCGCAGTAATGCTGATTTGTACCTCCATAAAACTACCCGCAAACATTCACATTTTCACAAGTCCCTCAAGTGTAGAGTGGAATGCTCAGTTCACGCTGGACTTTGCACCAGTTAGAGGGAGAGCAGTTTCCCTCATGTTTTCATGAAGCAGAAAACAAAAAATTAGGTGATCAGTTTTGAAATGGAAGGAGGCAGAGGCAATTCTTTGCATTCATCTCCCCATTTCCTCTCAGTTAAGACTTCAAAGTGTGTTTTCTTTTTATAAAACATACATATACTGTATATTTTGTTATATTATAAAAGAAATATATACTCATGGTAAAAAATTCAAATTACGCAGAGTGCATAAAGTAAAAAGTGAATATTATTTTCTATAAGTAAGTGGGATCTCATGAGAATTGCTATTCTACCACTTACTTGCTTTTTTCAGGAATAAAGATATTTCTGATATCCCTCCACACCAGCACATACAGATCTGCTTCATGAATGCAATGGCTACATCGTACAGTAAGGCCACAACCTGGCTATATCACAATTTATTTAACCTGTTTCCTATTGTTAAAACATTTACATTGCCTTCAATTACTCATGATAATAAATAATGCTACAATGAACCTTTCCTATACATATACAAAAACATCTGTGCAATCATATCCATATAATAGACATCTCAGAGTATAACCCTAACCCCAGGCCAAAAGACACACATATGTCTCATATTTATCTGTGACCTGGCTTTCTTCACATTGTAAGGGTTGTGAATATCTGAAATGTTGAAGATTATATTCAAAATATTAAAGTAAAGGTCAAATCAAATGTAAATTATTTTTGAATAAAGAATTAAATAAAAAGAACATAAACAGGAAACATGCAAGTTTGTTGAAAATAGATTTAATTTTACATACCTCTATATCCCCCAAGTGTAAAGGTCCTCCTGAGTCTGAAAAGAAGTTGAATATTATATGTAGGCAATAAAAAAATTGAAGTTGTTTCATTTATGGTAAATAAAATTTTACTAGTGAAAAAGTGACTCTTACGGTAACAGCGAATGTCCATGGCATAATATCCCCCCTCGTGGCTGAAAATGACCACTTCTCTGTCATGGACGACAGCAGTCATTCTTCCACGTTTTTTAATGTCCTCTTCTCTGCCGACACAGACAGAGGAATACTCCTTCTTTTCAGGTTCTGGTACACAGTCATCAAGATTCATGCTAGTTGCGCAAAAAGAAAAAAAGAAGAAAAAGAGAAGAAGAAAAAAAAAGAAAATTGCCAAGCGGTCTTCACTAGTTTGGCTACAACTGAAACCACAAAGGCAACGCTAAGAATGATGAGTCTGAATCTCCTGAGAATAATGGAGGCATTTTCCACACCTACATAAAACAAAACCTTTATAAATACTAGCTTATAATACTACTTTGAGTTAGAGACTCTCAACGCCTGCCAAAACTATATTGTAAGGCTAGACTTGTATTAGATTCATTTCAATGCTTAAGAAGGAAATTCCAAAACTCCTAAGACAGAGACTTAAATTTCATTATTATTCCCCATCAAATTCAAAGTGAACAATGTCCAGTTATTGTTCACATTGTTTCTAGTCTCCTGCTATGGGCAGGATTCCTGGACAGTTTGAGTGAATTGTCTCAGGCCCCATGGCTGAGGTGGCCCACGCAGTTTTGTGTAGATTACATGGCCAGCTCTAAATGGCAGAACCAGACAACTCTTACAGCAAGAGGGGACAGGTGTGAACGGAGGCTTTCATTTTCTTACCTCAGACAGAAATTGCCATTACTTTCTCCTGCTTTATGTTGGGTATTCAAAGAGACAAATTCTCCTTAATTAATTTATATAGGTAGTATAAATATATTTTTTCTTGGCACAGATATGAAGCCTATTTCTTTGAAAGCAACCCTGAGACTTTCCATATACTTTAAGAACATACTCACAGTCTATTAATTTCATCTGAGAAGGAAACATCAAGATATAGTGTCAGGGTTTGGGCCACACATGGAGGATTTTCTTGAGGGTGTCCCCTATGGAGGCATTTACATTTTTTTCTATAATAGATCCAATTTTCCAAGGATTTTTATAATTATTTTTTCTACATTTCTAATCCCAAATCTATCCTCTGTTATTCCTAACCTCTATTAGAGGTAGGAGTTACTATCTGAAAGTTTCTGGAAACATTCTTAATTTTCCCATCACAGGATATAGAATCTGATAGTTTTGACAATAACTTTCAACGTGTGAAGAACCATGTATTATCTTAGAGTTGATAAGAGAGACAGAGACAGGGAGAGACTTGTTCTCCAAGCAACTCTTATTTTGAATCTTAATGTAATTAAATAAAAATTACAAGACAGAAAAGAGTTCTTCTTTTTCCTTTATTTCCTAATTAGTATATTATCAGATATCTCTGCTTGGTCTCTGCCCTCTGCTGCAAAATGGGCATCTTCCATCACCTGGACCACAGCCAGCACTGCGGCCGGCACTAGGCAGGCTCACTCCCTGGGGGTGGGTAGGGAAGAACGGGCTATCCCATCCAGGTCTGAAATGCTATACATACCTAGACTGCTGGAGCAGGGCTTCAACTCCTTCATTATATGACAGAAGTTAAGGGTCCATGGTAACATCTAATCACAACCTACTTTTATCTTTTAGACACTTATTGACAAGTTTCTTTATAATCTACTTAGGGATTAATAATATGTTTGAAAAAAGAAAATAGGCAAAATTATCAAGGAGTGGCTATTAAACAATAAAACTTTCAACAACAGATGTTCAGGTTTTCCTTCTGCAAAGTTCTCCTTCCTCATTAGAGATCATCATTCATTTGATAGATATTTCCTGAACACTCACTATGTGACCAGCACTTCAGGAAGTAAGGCAGATAAAATCTCTGCCCACCCAAACATGACATTCTGCTTGGTAAGATCAATAATAAATAAACAAATACATACTTTAAACATGAAGAGAATAAAAAGGATCATACGAGAAAAAAATAGGGAGAGGCAATTTTACAAAGAACAGGCTGGGGAAGTGCCTGAGATGACAAGTGAGCTGACAGCCCCAAAGTGCAAATGAACTATCCATTCTAACCGCTGGGGGAAGAGAGTTACAAACTGGAAGAACAGCAAACACAAAAGCCAGAGAGAAGGAAAAGTTTTGGTTAACTGAAGAATGCATTAGCCAGATTATGCTCCAGGGCACAAGGACATGATGAGCAGTGTAAGGGTTAACAACTATATTACAGCACATTCAAGAGAAAGTGCATCTTAGAAGGAGGTGCCAACGACCTTGCTGATTAAGAAAAACGATACAAAAGACCAGAGGCGATTTAACACTGTGCACACATTCCAAAGAAATTTACTCATATCACTCTCCACCTTCTTCCTACTTTATCCTCACAATACTAGCCTATCACAAACCAGGACTACATACATAATCAACTCTAAAAGTACCCCTCGTTCCCCCACTAACTAAACCTATAAAACCCCCTACCTATTATAATAAACAGCTTCGGCTCAGTCCCTTTCCCAGTGTGTCTGTCTTTGTCTTATTTGTCAATCCCCTTTCATACGCCGACTCCCCAAACCGCCCCCACCCGCCGGTCGGGAGGTGGCAGAGCAGGGCTGTGAACAGGCAGGAGCCAGGCTGTTCTGTGCTGTGGGTGGATTTTACCCTTAGAACAATGAGCAGCCACTGAAGAGTGTGAAGCAGTTGAATGGGACATGATCTACTTTCAAAAGAATGCCTGGCTCTGCAGAGAATAGACTGTGGTGGAATCAGAATGGAAGCACAGAAATCAAAAAGCTGCTGCATGGGCCCATGGGAGAGCCGGTGGCTTGCACCAGGGTGCTGACTCAGGGGGACGGGGCTCAGGAAGTGGGGAGAAAAAGTAGTAACAGCAGCAGCAGCAGCTACAATTATTTTGTGCTGTGTGACAGGAACTCTTTTAGCCCTTTCTAGTTATTAGCTCCTTTAATCCCCCAATATATTACTAAAAAAAATATGACTGTAATTTTGCAGTGGGAAAAGTGACACACAGAGAAGTGGGGTAGATGAAAAGGTTTGAAGAAGCTATGGAAAAAGAAAGAAATAAAGATGACTCCCAAGGTTTTTGATTTGTGCAACCACACGGACTGTAGTGCCAATGACTGTGATGACAAAAACCAAGAAAGGAATGACATTTTTGCAGGGATGGAAAATCAAGAGCTAGCTACGTATGGACATAATGAGTTTAAAGTGTCTCTGAGGCACCCCAGTGGCTCTATCAGGGTAGTAGTCTGATATATGAGACTGGAGTTGAGAATTGCCAGAGAGAAAAATCTGGGAGTTTTCTATGGTGTCACTTGGACAAGAAGTGTGGATGGGGAAGAAGGTCTTAGACAATTCCTGAAGCACTTCAACATTTAGCGGTCAGGTGGGAGAGAGGCCGAAGAAGGGTAAGACCAGAGGAAGTGTCCAAGCTGGAGGCACCACCCTACCAGACTTCAGGCTATATTACAGGCCCACAGTAAACAAAACAGCATGGCATTGGCAGAAAAATAGAGACATAGACATATGGAACAGAATGGAAAAGCAAGAGATGAAACCAGTCTCTTACTGCCGTCTGATCTTTGATAAACTAAATAAAAGCAAATAGTGAGGAAAGAATCCCTATTCAATAAGTGGTGCTGGAGAACTTATAACCACATGTGAAAGACTGAAACTGGACCCATACCTTTCACCATTTACAAAAATTGACTCAAGAAGGATAAAAGATTTAGATCTGAGACATGAAACCATAAAAATCTTAGAAGAAAGTGTGGGAAAAACTCTTGATGATGTTAGACTAGGGAAATATTTTATGAAGACTTCAGCAGCTATTGCAACAACAACAACAATAAACAAATGGGTCTTAAGCTGAAAAGATTCTGCACAGCTAAGGACACAACAAGTAAAGCAATACATAACTTCAGAATGGGAAAAGATATTTGCAAGTTATCAATCTGACAAAGAGTTGATAACTAGAATCTAGAGAGAACTCAAATTAATCAACAAAAGAGAGTAAACAATCCCGTCTACCATTGGGCAAGGGATATAAACAGAACCTTCTCTGATGAAGATAAATGCCTAATGAACATTTGAAAAAATGCACATTGTCCCTGATCGTCGAGAAATGCAAATCAAAACCACCCTGAGATCCTACTTAACCCCAGTGAGAATGGCCCACATCACAAAGTCTCAAAGCTGCAGATGCTGGCATGGATGTGGAGAGAAGGGAACACTTTTACTCTCCTGGTGGGACTACAAACTAATACATTTTTTTGAAAGGAAGTGTGGAGAATCCTCAAAGAGCTCAAATTAGACTTCCATTTGATCCTGCAATCAATGCCAATGACTGTGATGAGAAAATCTGGGCATTCGCTATAGTGTCACTTGGACAAGAAGTGTAGATGGGGAAGAAAGTCTTAGACAATTCCTGAAGCACTTTCAACATTTAGAAGTCAGGTGGGAGAGAGGCTGAAAAAGAGCAATCCCATTACTGGGCTTGCTCCAAAAGAAAAAGAAAATCCTTTTATCATAAGGACATTTACACTAGACTGTTTATCCCTGTTCAATTTACAACTGCCAAAATGTGGAAACAGCCTAAATGCCACCCCAACCCAGGACTAGATTAACAAGCTGTGGTATATGTATACCACGGAATACTATTTAGCCACTAAAAAAGATGGAGACTTCGCATCTTTTGTATTAACTTGGATGGGGGTGGAACACATTCTTCTTAGTAAAGTATCACAAGAATGGAGAAGCAAGAATCCAATGTACTCAATTCTACTATGAAGTTGTAGAAGATCTAATATATACCCACATAAGAGAAAAATTCAAATCAGTTCAACATAGGGGAATGAGTGGGCAAAGAGAAGGAAGGAGAGATGGGATGGGTTTGCTCACACTTACTGGGCACAATGTTAGGGTGTAGGGCACAACTCTCCAGGGTGGACACAAGTATAAGAGGGACTTTGTCTAACAAATGCTAACATTGTAACCTAATTATTAGTACCCTCAATTAACCTAAAATGATTTTTAAAAAAGGCATTTGACAAAATTATAAATCACATGTCAACTTCAAATCTTCTAATTTTAGGAAGATGATCTTTCATTATCAGCACCTCACAGTTCAGAGGAAGTTAGGATAACAATATATATGGAGCCTGTATTGTAATTCTACTTAAGTCTTAGGTTAACATTTTACATACAAACATATATATATCCAACTTCCTTAGAGAACACTTGCACTTTAGTGTACCTAGCTTAGAACAATCACAAACTGGAACAACAAGAGGGATTCACTTTCTAGGGAATTTTCCTGATGGCTTTTCTAAATATTTATTTAATCCTGTTTGACTTAGTAGAAATGTTTTAATATTGAGAGGAAAAGGATATGGATTATTTAAAAAGTAAGTTTATAAAAAACAAAATCTTAAGAGTATAATCTCTATGTGAGTGTGTCAGGGAGAATTTATAGGCCACTATTTTCAGAAAGGTAGTTTTGAGCCATGTGGGAGACAGATAACATTTATCATTGTAAATCTGGGATCCCAAGATTGAGTGTAAGTAGAGGTGTCTAGAGGTACACACACACAGAGAGATGCATTGATGGGGAAAGGCAAGAACTTTGAATTCAGCAAAGGAAAGCATTACAACAAACCAAGCTTAGGAAATTATAAGAATGTTGAATTTGTGCTCTGAAGTTTACATTGTCGATCCTTGCTTTAACCTGGCTACTTAAAAAAAAAAAAGGGTGGAAAAATAATACATACTCTATTTAAAAAAATCATCTCACAATAAAAAAGCAAAAATATATTATTTTTTAAAAACAGCAAAGAAGACTAGGCCATGACTTTCTGGGTTAGCTCTGGCTGGCTGGAGGCTGGAATACTACTTCTGCACGGTCATCTGATCTACTTGATTTTGGCAGGTGCCCAGTGTATCCAAATTGCTCGGATGGTAGTATTTACCTTCAAAGTTGGGCATTCAGCATTATCACATTTTGTGACAGAACAGACAAAGGGTCAATAATGATAAGAAAAAAATGCCAACATGTAAGAACTAACCGAAAGAAGGGAAAACAGGCTGAGGAAAAGGAAATGTGAAATTTGCAACACATATGACCAACAAAGGATTAAGATTCAAAATATACTAGGAACTCCTATAGACTAGTAAGAATAATCTGTGATCCAAATAATCATAGAAAAATGAGAAAAGACATGAACAAACACTTCACAGATAAGGAAATCCCAATGACCAGTAATCACATGCAAAGATGCTTAACCTCATTAGTAGGAAAATGCAAAGCCAAGCCACAAATGGGGTACTATTTCCCAACCACCAGTCAGCAAAAAAATTATATCAAATAATGGTGAGAATATGGACTGCTAGTGACAGCATAAATTAGTGCTGCCACAGTTTGGCATTACCTGGTAGAGTTAAACATATCCAGAACCCAATAATACCACTTTAGGTAGAGAAATGGGCACAGGCACACCAGGAAACACGCACAATAGTGGTTATAACAGCAAAAGACAAAAAACACCACAAAGTTCATCAACAGTAAAACAGATAATTTGTATGTTCACTCAATGGAAGGCTGCAGAGCAGTGAGATTCTATCACTACATCAGGTTGGACTGATTTCAAAATTGTAACTTCAACTAAAAAAATTTAAAAAGAATTCCAAGTATGCTTTCATTTTTATCAGGTGCAAAAACTGGCCAAACCAAACAATATGCTATTCATAGATAAATGTACATAGGTTAAATTTATAAAGAAAAGCAAAGGGATAATAAACATAAAATGTCCCAAAATAATTTAGTTAATTCTTATGTTTTAAAGTATTCTTTTCAATATTAAAGTAGTATCCTACTTTATGCAGCAAATAACCCAAGACCCAAGAACACAGGGATAAAATTTCACTTTCTATCCTTAGAGAATATGCCTGAGCATAGATCATAAATAAACTATTTGAGAATTCTGTACAGCTTATTTCAAAATGAAAGGAGAAACACAAAAGGAGAAAATAAATGAATTCCTTTTTATTTTTCCATGCAAATACTAGAAAAGAAATACCACTCTCAAGCAAATATCAAAATACAAGAGATGTAAACTAACATCAAAAGTTAATTATGTTTTCCTGACTTTCAAATAAATGAGAATCAAATACTGTCCTGTCTCAAATTTCATTCTCCTGAAACATAGTTTTTGCAGACTTTGTCTCCAACCAAGAAAAACTGTAGTGAACTTCAAAGGAGCTGATAAGAAAGGAACAGAGAAGGCTGGAGCTAAATGATAAAGTTTCAGAGAACTATGATTACATTTTGCCTTGCATTTTGCTTAGGAAAGTATTATCTCAGCCGTCAAAAGATAGTTTCCTCTATGTATCATAAATGGTACTATTTGTTTGTGATATCTGATAACTATTTTATAATTAATACCCATATTATTAATATTATGAATATCATGGTCCATTCAGAATAACAGAAGCCTATTCACCTTAATTACTGTTATTTTGATGAACTATTTATAAACTCCCATATATTTCCTCTATTTTGAGTCTACTTTATTAGAATCATAACTGAATAAAAGAAAGTAAAAACTTGAGCAACTTACTTAGTTTAAGAGCTAGATGAAAACTTCCCTATGAAATATTTAGTTGTTCTGCTCTATAATTCTCTTAAAATTTTTTTTGGGGGGGCCTGTCTCTAAAACTAGATTTCTATAGATGTTAACTCCATATAACATTACAGATTAACTAAATGGATCCTCAGTCACTATTAGATTCCTTTCCGACACAGGAAATAATTTCAAGCTGAATTAAAAAGAAATACAGTAACTCAAGTTTCCCATAAGACACTGGAGACCAAAAAGACTAGAAATTAAAGGTACTTACTTGTCACTCCTCGCCAGCAATGACTAAGGTGCTTTTTACCACGTCTGGGGACTTGGTCCACACATTATCAAAACGCTTATCTCAAGGGTGACACTCTTGCTTTTAGGGAAGAGAAAAGCATTAGAAAGTAGTTTTGAATAGCAGAATAATAAATAATAGATAAAACTAGCTGTCTGTCAGCGAGGGCCTCCTGGACACTTTGCATGTATTAGCTCATTAAGCCTCACAAAACCTCCACAGTAGGTATTAATTTAGGTAGCACTCACATGTGGCCCACAAGTAAACTATCTTGAAGACACAAAAACCTTTGAACAAAGATTTATATTGGTGACTGGAGATATAAATATGAGTGACATTTGTGTATAATATATATCACCTTGAATTTTTAATTTATGAACGCTGATGTGGAAGAGTTATATTGACAAATGTTTAAAATTGAATACTTGCCTAATGAGTTAATAAAGTCATGCAGCCACTATGG